AATTGTTTAAAAATGGTCTCCTTTTATAAAGATGAAAATGAGGGCGTATGTATATTTCGTTACAAAATTCGCTGAAGAACCAATATGAAAGATATGTTTTTGACATCTGGAAAGACAAGCCTTTAAACTTTACAGTATTCAGATGGATTAAGAAATCCAAAAAAGGAAATGTAGTGTTACAAGATTCGTTGCAGTTGAAATGGATGATCAAAATCTGTAGATACACCAAAAAATGTCGATGGTGTGACCAACTTGATGACTGTAAATGCCAGATTTACAGTGAAAGAAAATGCTAAGACACTAAACAGTTCATCATCACAGTTTATAGATTTCTGACAAAGGTAAAATGAATCTAAAAATATTTCTTTATCATAGGGGTGCCTTATTTCTTTACAGATGCCTAAGAGGAAAAAATACGATTAATGTGCCAATGGTATAGTAAAAAAAATAGACATCATTACAAAAAAAGGTAACGTTTAACTTGGGTTATGGGTGTTAAAACATTGGTACATTTTTAACAGCCAAAAAGGAAGAACACTAAAAGAAAGTGGAACCAGAGAGAAAGCTGTCGTCTTATTATTGCAAAGAAAAGCCAGAGCTCCAAACATTTCTTATGCAGGTTTTCTCTTTAGTCAAGAGGTCCGTTAATATATGAACCTACGCCTAAAGAATGAAAATCATTGGTTGTTTTATGTTAAAACTGCACTGAGTAAAGTTCAGCAATTTGTTTGTGGGGGAAGTTCAAATACCAGTCCCCAGGGTTAATTTTCTTGTATCTTACAACGCTGCTGCAAATAAGCATAAGTTAACATCTTTAACGAAATTTTGAAGAAAGAACGTTTACAGAGCTTAGCCATCCGGCGTATTCGCTAAATCTCAGTCATTATGAGATTTTTTAATTCCAAAAACTCAAGAAAACAAACAAAAGACGACTTTACAATTTAATGTACGTCATTAAGAATGCTATTCATCAGTGTCGTTTTGGACATCCCTAAAGATGAGCATGCCGAGGTGCTCTGGTCATGTGTTTAAAAACTTTAGACGTGTATTAAGGTTAACAGGAAATACTTTGAGTAATTAAAAATATAAAGAATCTGCTTCTTGTGCTTCTCTTATTTTAAGATCGCATTTTGAACGATCCTCGTACAGTACTTGTCAAAATGATGATATCTAAATTCTAAACAAGCTAAACACTACACTTGACATTTTCTGCCACAGGATGTCTAACATGGGTGGGAACTTCTGTATTGAGTGTTATTGTCGCATGATTGAACAGAGAAAGTATAGTGTCGGACACATCAAACATTATCGGTGAGAGTAGAACCGTTTTATATGGTGATATAACAGAGCTTCAAGAACACAATGAACATAAATCATAGAAAAATTGTACAATCTGATGAAATCAATGGACAACACTATGAATGCCAAAATTAACCAGATAAATACAAATAACGAACAAAAATTCTAAAAATAGAAAGCAAACTGCAAAAAGTTGATGAAATCTGTGAAAAGTGACGATTTAGATACCCTTCAATTAGATGGTTGAAATTGAGAGTAAAATTAACTTTACTTGATCAGTTTAAACAAATTCGGACGTTCAAAATTTATCAAAGACTTTAGACTATAGAATATACAAAGATGAACTAAAATTCGAAAATTATTAAGAATTTCTGTCCAGAAAAGGTGCGATTAATTTTTGTAAATTTCGTACTTGTAATCATCATTTACCGATTGAAATTAGACATTGGCTAAATGAACCAAGAAAAACTAGATCAATAAAACAAAATCAATAACATCAAAACGTCCGACTTTTCAACACTTTATACAACCATTCCCCACGATAAATTGAAGTCCAGGCTTTTTGACATCATAGACAGCTGCTTTTTCAATAAAAATGGAACTCGTAAATAAATTTACCTTGTCAGTGGTCATTTGCAAAATTATTTTGTTAAAAAGCGTTCTGATTGCAAACACAAGTACTCTGAAGTTGACATTAAAAGATGCTTCAGTTTCTGATTGACAATATCTATGTAGTTTTTGGAGATCAGGTCTTCCAACAAGCTGTTGGAATTCCCATGGGTACCAATTGCGCCCCGTTATTAGCAGACCTATTTTTGTATTCATATAAATCAGAATTTATTCAAAAACTTCTACATTAGAAGAAGAAACACTTGCTTTGGCCTTCAACTCGACATTTCGATATATCGACGTTGTATTATCAATTAACAATAGTTACTTTCATTCATATGTCGACATTATATATCCCGATGAACTTGGAATAAAAGATACCACAGAGTCTGACACATCCGTTTAATATTTGGGTATTTTACTAGAAAAGACGTTAATGGTAACCTAACAACAAGGCTTTATGATATAAAACGTGATGACTTCCCTTACTTATGCAGCAATATACCCTAATCACCTGCATATGGGGTTTATATCTCTCAGTTGATTCAATATGCAAAAGCATGCTCATCGTATGAACAATTTCTCAAACGAAGTAAGTTATTGACAAACAAGTTGATGAAACAAGAATATCAACAGCCTCGTTGAAAGTCATCATTTCGTAAGTTATATGGTCGATACAATGACCTTGTCAGTAAATACAATCTATCATTAAGTTATATGCTGACTGACGTTTTTCATACTTATTGTTAGGTCATTATTTACACACTGAATTTTTTTCCCCGATATTTCCCGATAATGACAAGGAGCACACGACGGGTGTGACCTATCGACAGGGGATGCTAGCTCCTCCATGGTACCTGATCCCACCTCTCTGTTGTTTTTGGAAGTCCGTGTTTGCTCTGCTCCCGATTTGTATTGTTTTAATGGACTTTAAGCTTGTTCGTTATATCCATATTTTGTATCAAGCTTGGCAAAATTGGAGTAAATTCTGAAGTATCCATGCCGGAGAAGAAAAGTTTACAACATCAAAAATACACACATTCATAGTATAAAACTCAAAGTTAATTAAATCAGTTGTATGTTCGGAACTAAATGCTAAGATGTCGGAATTGCCTTCTTACATGTCTAGACTATGAAACTGATACGATTGCAAGTTCGGATATACAAACTTAAAAGTCTGGATTTTTTAACACGATTACTCTCCATATGTATCAGCATGTTACACTTTCAACTAAGTAAGCAGCTTTGTTTTGTTTTATTTATTAATTTTTGATACATTTTATACTATCAAATGTGCACGTATCAGTACACAGGTTGTTAAAAATTCTAGTTCATGTATTTTTTTTTAAATGTTAACCAGCACAATACATTCTCACGTTTCTTTGTTTGATGTAAGCTGGGGTAGTTTAGGGTCGCTGGATGATCATGATTTCCAGAAACTGCATTGAATATTTATACAGCCGCATTGATGACGTTTTTTGACGAAGGTGCTTATTTCGTAATTATAAAGAAGACTTTAAAAACGTTGGAAGTTGTATTTCTGAAGGTGAGAATTATTCTTTTATTCAAAACAAAATGCAACCATTTCCAAATACGTAAAATCAAAAACTTTTTTCAGCATGACATAGTTCATCATAATTTTAACGGAAAAGTAATTAAACGTCAAACAATGAAAACGCATTTCAAAATAGATTGATCTATAGAAGAATAACAGTATGTTCCCCGAGATTGTTAGAGGTGACATAAAAGTATTAAAAAAAAATTGGCCTTAAAGTGATTTTCTTCATTCAAAACTAATTTTGTTTCCATTTTAGCTGAATTAGATTCAATCCTTTGAATACCCTTCATTCTGTTTCAGAAACAAATATCAAAAAAAAAAAAATGGAGAGAGAGCGTGAAAAGTTTCGCTTGAGATCATTCAGATTTTTAGCTTCATTTAAGTTGAAAATTCAATAATTTAAGTTGTTTTAATACTTCAAATAATGGCATATTCATTTTATTCAATGTATATTTTTGTGTGTATATTTAAAATAGAGATGGTTTATTTTTTTCTTCCTGAATCCCTGTGATAGATCCTCATTCATTCTTTGTCCCTCTGTAGGTATATAATCCATTCATGAAGAGACAAAGGGATTGTGTAAAAGATTGACATGTTGACGAGTCCAGTTTCTGGAATGCACCGCATTGTTTCATATGTATCAATATAAGCGATCTTTCAAGCCTTTTAAATAATTTAATGACAATATCATTTTATGCTCGGTCGATTATTTATTAAGGCAGACAACGTGCCTGTATAATTAAGTTACCTTAATTTAAAATCTTCTTCATGATCTTGATTTTAGAATCTTTTTTATATATATGCATTAACAGTAGATCAATTCTGATATATGTATTAACAGTAGATTTTGGATCTCTTGCAAAGTTGTGCATCAGAAAAAAATTTTGCATGAAGTTAATACGATATTTCTACTTGTTTGGATCTCTTTTTTATTTTAAACGTTTTATTAAAACCAATGTGGATCAATATTAAAATCAAAATTCTTCAAAATAAATTGTTTAAAAGCAATCAAGGCAAATGAAACTCAATATGTAGTATTACAACACATAAATATTTGCACTAAGTACAAATATTCAAAGAACGTGTATACATGTATTTCTTTACATGCTTTTCCTCCTTTTCATATTCTTCACTGTGTAGCTGGTGCTGACAGCTTGATTGTCCACTGTGTCTCTAATTCGTTTGTATCCCGCTCACTCGTCCTCCAACACATTTTGTAAAATTGCTTGAATATCTACACTTTTCTAACTTTACAAATAGCTGTAATTTTAATTTCTTGCCATTGCAATCAAAATAATCTCCATGATCTTCATAATTAAGATGATTTTTTTTTTTACGTTTACGCTAATACATGTATAAAATTATTTTATATTAGCCTTCTTTAGTTGTCTTCATTTAGTTTTACTTACAGGTTGGCATAAAAACACTGCAACAATTTCTTTCAGATTTATAATAAAGTATAGATATTTAAAATAGGCTGTTGATTTTGTATTAACATGAACATTAAATTGTTGTTTATTTATAAGCCAACACCATGGGATTTTTCACTGGAGTCGGGCGATTTATTGTGGTCATCCTCAATATCATATTTGTGGTAAGTAATTAGACAAACTCTCAACTGTATCTGAAAAGTTGTAATAATAGTCAAAAAATATCCACGTATTCGGGTGGTTTTCTTAAAGTTAATTAAGGAATGAAGCTTATTTTAACCTATGTTATACGATATAACAAAACTTGGGGCAGTTTACGCTTTATAAACCACGAAGCGGTTTATAAAAAAGCGTAATCTGCCCCTAGTTATGTTATATCGTATAACATAAGTTAAAATAAGCTTCATTCCAAATAATTTAATTTCAATGTAGACAATAAGGCAATTTTTCTCCAAAAATGGCTTCAAATTAAGCATATTTTAAAAGTAACGTCAAGCGGAGTAATACGTTTTTGACGTAACTCATTGTGACGTAGGCCCAATCAACTAAAATTAAATTATAAGGCGATATTAATAATTATATATAGTTAACTCTTGTGGACTGTTGTGGATTCAGTGATTTTTTTTAATACTTTACTTATTCCAAAGCCAAAGAAGAATTTCAGTAGATATATACCATTAGAGGTAGATTAATGAATTGTTTTCTTTAATCTACTTCCTTTTTACAACTTTTTACAGATTGTTTCCACGGTTATGTTGGCGTCGGGAATTGCCCTTAAATTCTTCTCAGACAACGCTTTTCTTAAAAATGCCGAGGAGCAATTCAAAAGTGGTTTAGATTCATTCAGTTCTAAAACAGGTAATTAATGCCGAGGTGCAATTCAAAGTTGCGTTCAGAGTCTCTCAGAACTTAAACAGGTATTCTGTCAAACATCGTAATTTTTTTCAGAAATCAATTTAAAAGATTCAAAGTTTGTCAGAATTGATTGGGATGGAATGTCAAAAAAGTTGTACTTTTTTATCAGGTGCAGGCATCGACACCAGTAGCTTCAGTCTCAATTCCATTTTCGGAACAGTGTCCATTGTTCTTATTGTTTTTGGAGCCTTCTTACTGGCCGTATCTTTCTTCGGTTGTTGTGGAGCTTGCTGTAAAGTACAGGTTCTACTTATCGTGGTACGTGGTGTTGGTCTTTTTTTTTAAAATCATTTATTGATAAGATTTGGAAACGGTTTTTAATCCATTGAAACAAAAAAAAATTTTATTTGAAAGCAGCGGGAGGGGGGGGGGGGGTATTTCTTTCCCAACAAGCGCTTGTTTAAGGAAATTTTCACCTCTTTGTTTTGCAGTACGCTGTTATACTGATAGTCCTGCTACTCGGACAGATAATTCTGGTGATCCTAATGTACGCCTCCCCTGTGGTAAGCAGCACTGTTGATAAATTGGAAATATTTTTTTATTTATATAATGTCTTTTACTTCTTCTGGTTATTATTTTCATTTAGTTATCGACATAGTTTTAAAATAGTGTTTTATCAGTATATTAATAATGTAGGTGAAAAACTCAGTACGAGAGGAATTAAAGGTATCCGTCAAAGATTATCAAGGAGTGAGGGGCGTAAACCTTGAGTCCATGCTCTGGAACGCCGCCATGATAGAGGTAGCTCGACGATTACGATTTAACATGAATACGCTTATGTTTCAAAAATTCTTTACAGAATATTATTAAATGTAAATGTTTAACTAATGTGCCGTTTGAGTTAAAAGGTCAAGATCTAGTAAATGACTTTAGACTGTCATTTTGTGCTAGATCCATTATGACGTCATGATTGATTTTAGCTTAATTTTTCCCGTACTTTACATCTTTAATAGAATTATGTAGAAAATGAAGTATTTTCATTGTATTCAATTTGAAATCATGTCAAAAGTAACCCTGATATCTATATTCAATTTAATATCATTTTGAAGTAGAGATTAAGAAGAAACGAAAAACCGTTTTTTGAGAGACTGTAGGCAATATTGATACATTTCTTTTATCTGAGATGGGAAAAAACTCCGAAATTTATATTTGACTTTCTTTGTTTTTCATTAAAAATTACTGTTTAAAGCACGTTTTTTCGTCTAGTTTATCAAAAAATTATGTCCCGAAACACCTTATTTTACCAAGCTATATTTGTAAAGAATCATTAAAAGAACTCGTTTCTAAGATTTGAAAAATCTGTAGGCACCTTTCATTTACTAGATCTTGACCTTAAGGTATAAACTGCGAGATGTTATTGAGTGATTTCTTCGTCTTGTCAGTATATTGGAAGCATATGGAAAAGACTCTTGTGTTATCAATTATGAAGCAAACTCATAATAATGATAATATGAGAAATGACGGTCATAATAATGATTTATGAATTGTCAGCATTTCAAAATTCAAAGAGGTTCCTCGAGTAGACCTTTTTAGTTTTTGTGTTTACGACTTTACTATTTATCTATCTATCTATCTATCTATCCACTTTGTAAACTTTCTATTATAATGGCGTTTTAAAGTGATTACATTTCTTTTGTGCTCTATATTTACTTCTGATCATTTTTAACAGTTGAAATGTTGTGGTGTAGAGGACTATAAAGATTTTGGTTTATATGCCAAAAGCTGGAACAACACTCCTGCGATGCCTGATGGTACTACTGATCCCCTCTCCACGCCTGTGGCTTGTTGTGTGACTATTCCTACATCAAAATCTGCTGCAGAAACTTGTGCCAAAGGTCCGACCTTGGATCCGACGAAGAACAATTACAATAAGGTACAATGTACTTAGTTCAAAACAAATGTTACATGTATTCTGGTTTTCATTACAATTTTTATGACAGTGTCAATGTGAAAGCCTGCTTTCTGCATAAAATGAACGTTTTACATCCTGTGAATTTCTGGCCCAAAACTTAATTATCAAAAAGTTCGTGGACTGATGCGATAAAATTAATACTATGAAGTCTGTGCTTACAAAATTTATAAGGAACATAAAACAGTTTCCTGACGTCCAACAACGTCTTGCTTCTCCCTCTACCTCATACACTTATATTGATGAGATTCCCTGGAGTTTTTGCCAGCATATTTTGCTTGTCGGAATTTAATATCCACCACACATGATCAACGTCACTTTTCGACGTGACTGACTTTTGACACCCTGACTACAAATCGGCATTAACTGTGCATCTCTCATCTCTCTGAATCTTTGTTGGCATTTAAAAACAACTACTCTGTATGTATTTTATTTCTCTCTAGCCCGTTAAACGTTTCTTAGGTCTATACCAGTTTTTCCATGGGGCGAAACTTTAAAGAATGTTGGAAAAAGAAACCCCTCCCCATTTTAGACGTCAGTTTTAAGCCCTTATTTGCTTGGACACTCCATTCAAAATTTACGATAAAATTTCACAGAACGTACAGAATGAGGAAAAGATTGCAGATATGAAGGAACACATGTGTCATAATACATACCTGAATTAACGGGATTTTTGAATGACAAATTAATACTCATATCAAAAGCGTTTTTCTCAGTTACACTCAGGTAGAAAAAACTTCATGTTCGAGGTTGCGCCGCCTAGACACACCATTGATTACAAAAATATTAACAATTTATTAAAAAATAAAACATGATTTATGATTCATTCTATTGACAGAAAAGATGATGCTAACTAAATGTGTTAAAATTCATTGATGTACCTAAAGCGGCTTTAATTTTATGGCGCTAGTCTACGAACTTTTTGATAGCCCCTCGTATTTGTTTAACATGTACATGTGTATTACATGTATACTAGTATGTTGTGTTTTTTCTTGTTCACATATGACTGTTTTCAAAAATAACAATGTCAAGAAAATATTAACTTTGTAGGGTTGCTTTGACAAAATCTGGGACATGATGTTTGAAAATCCTCTGATGCTCGGAATTGTTCTCTCTGTGGCTTTCGTAATTCAGGTACGGTATTGTGTATGCCAGTGTCAATTGACTCAGGTACGGCATTGTGTATGCCAGTGTCAATTGACTCAGGTACGGTATTGTGTATGCCAGTGTCAATTGACTCAGGTATGGTATTTTAAGTGTCAGCTAATTTACAGTATATTGTAAGTCAGTATCAGTTAATTCAGGTACAGTATTGTGTGAGTCAGTCAGCTAATTCGGGTACGGTATTATAGGTCCGTATCAGCTAATTCAGATACGATATTGTAAGTCAGTGTCAGCTAATTCAGATACGATATTGTAAGTCAGTGTCAGCTAATTCAGGTACGGTATTGTAAGTCAGTGTTAGCTAATTCAGGTACGATATTGTAAGTCAGTGTTAGCTAATTCAGGTACGGTATTGTACGCCAGTGACAGATAATTCAGGTACGATATTGTAAGTCAGTGTTAGCTAATTCAGGTACGATATTGTAAGTCAGTGTCAGCTAATTCAGGTACGGTATTGTACGCCAGTGACAGATAATTTAGGTACGATATTGTAATTCAGTGTTAGCTAATTCAGGTACGATATTGTAAGTCAGTGTCAGCTAATTCAGATACGATATTGTAAGTCAGTGTCAGCTAATTCAGGTACGGTATTGTAAGTCAGTGTTAGCTAATTCAGGTGCGATATTGTAAGTCAGTGTTAGCTAATTCAGGTACGGTATTGTACGCCAGTGACAGATAATTCAGGTACGATATTGTAAGTCAGTGTCAGCTAATTCAGATACGATATTGTAAGTCAGTGTCAGCTAATTCAGGTACGGTATTGTACACCAGTGACAGATAATTCAGGTACGATATTGTAAGTCAGTGTCAGTTAATTCAGGTACGGTATTGTACGCCAGTGACAGATAATTCAGGTATGATATTGTAAGTCAGTGTTAGCTAATTCAGGTACGGTATTGTACGCCAGTGACAGATAATTCAGGTACGATATTGTAAGTCAGTGTAGCTAATTCAGGTACGATATTGTAAGTGAGTGACAGATAATTCAGGTACGATATTGGAAGTGAGTGACAGCTAATCTAGGTATGGTATTGTATACATCAGTGTTAGATAATTCAGGTACGATATTGTAAGTGAGTGACAGATAATTCAGGTACGATATTGTAAGTGAGTGACAGCTAATCCAGGTATGGTATTGTATACATCAGTGTTAGATAATTCAGGTACGATATTGTAAGTGAGTGACAGCTCATGCTCATAATATGTATTGTTTAAATGGACTTTTGAAAATGATCACTGTTATTTTCACATTTCATTGTATATTCTTTTCTCTTCTTATCAAAGAATGCAACTCAGTATAAACTTTTTTACAAATAAACAAGCCGGGGAAAAAATAATCAACAAATACTGCTTAATTTTTCACTTCAGCTCCTACTGATTGTATTTACAATTATGATGTACAAACAAAACAAAGGTGAAAAGAACGGCAAAGGAACCAACAAAGTAAAGCCCATGCGAGGGTATATGTGAACATGGAGATGCGGTGAGGAATTAAAGAACAAAATGCTGTGTACATGATGAGAAAATTTCTTTTTTGTATTTTAAATATGACGGTCTAAAACCCCTTTATATATATTTCTTACGAATTGTGAATTTATTGAGAATTTTCATATTAATGTTGTGTATTTAGTTTTGTTTCAAGTCTGTAAGATCATTTCGATATCTTTTTTTATACATTTGTATTCATTTGTTGAAATCCTATATTAATGTTGTTTTAATAAAGATTTTCTTTGAAAACTTCCGTCGATCACTTGATGAATATAAAAAATAAAATTGAAATAAAACAGTATCCCCACTTGCATCTAAATGTATTCTCCTTCATACCTGGATATCTAGCGAATCTGTGCGCACTTGAAAAGTGAGAAATTCGATTATCAACCACATGATATTTTAGCATTGTAATAAACAGTTTCCTTTGATACAGTAAAGGGAATATTATATTTTTCCGATATTTTGTAGAGTGTATGCTCAAATACGCTAAATGATTCTGTAAAAATATTTCATTTTCAAACACATTTCATACATATCAATCTCCTCTATCTCTGGTTTATCTCTCCACGATTATGTAAAGTCAAATCATATAATTGGTGTGGACATCAGGCATTGCCTATATAAGTCCTCTCCAAGAAGGTCAAGGTTACAAAGGAATTGACAATTATCATGTGTAGTAATTTACAATGATGAAATTGTTCATAATAAATTATATTAATTTCTAATGTAAACTAGAAAATAAAGATATGAAAAAGATAAATTATACACAGGAATTATTACAGGTACCTAGCATATATTCTCATTACAATATAATGAATAGAAAAGAAAATGTGAACATATTTTATTGAGTACATCAAAAGGATTGGAACACACGTTCTATACAACTTACTAAGTTCCTCTCCTTATATATTACAATATGTTATGCAATTGAAAAGAAAAATAATACAATTAATACAAGTGAAAAAGCAATTAAATAACATATCAACTAAAGAATCTACATGTTTCGTCAATAAATTTATGGTGGATTTTTAATTTTTGTTATCAAGTTTTTTCGGAATGTTTTGATTGAGATGACTTCTCTGGCCTCTGTTTTTATTCTGACCTACTAAGATTTTGTGACAATAGTAAACCCGAATGGTGATGGACTGGAACACACTCCAGCCTATCGTCTTTAAAAAATAGCTTAGGCATAACAGAAATGTCCTTCTTACTAAAATAAACGACCTTTGTTTTGGATGGATTGAACTTAAGAAGCCACTTGTTTGACCATAGTTCCAAAATATGTAAATCATGATCCAATTTGTATTCCATATTTAATGTATTGTATGATGATTGTTGAAGGGAATTATCATCCGCAAACAATCTACACATTGAAATCATATTTTCAGCAACATCATTTATATAGATGAGAAATAATAGTGGACCTAAAACAGAACCCTGAGGTACACCTGCAAAAATATCTTGTTTTGATGATAACAGATCCTTGTACATAACTTTTTGTGACCTTTGACATAGATAACTAGAAAACCATTGAAGATCACCAGATATACCATAAGTTTTTAATTTAAAAATGAGACCTTTGTGTCATACTCTATCAAAAGCCTTTGAAAGATCACAAAAAACCATTCAACATGATTTACCATCATCTATGTTTTGAACTATACTGTGATATGTTTCTAGTAATTGATATATATTTTAATGACCAGGTAGGAATCCTGTTGGTATCGATAAAATATATCATTACTATGAAAATAATTGTACACGTGTTTAAATATTATTCTCTCCATAATTTTACTGACACAAGATAATAACGACACAGGTCTATAATTGGAAACCACAGAGGGATCATCCTTTTTGAAAAAAGGAATAACATGTGCTAATTTCAAAAAAGATGGAAGAACTTTTTTCTGACAAAGATCTATTAATTAACATAGTGAGTGCTTTAACAACAGTAAAAAGAATAGATTTTAACATTTTATGACTAATACAATCAAGGACCAATAGCTTTGTTCATGGGTAGTATTATGACCGTGCAAAATGTATATTTTGCACATATTCGTAAATATTTTCTATTTTCGGCTTGTTTATGAGTTAATATATTTTACATACGCAATCTTATGAAATTCTTCTTGATAAGGAAATGATTTAATGTAAATTAATATTTATAAAAAGTCTTAACTGTAACAATGAAATAGTAAATCAAAGCTATTAAATATTGCTTAAAGGTAAATACTTATAAGACATTGAGGACAGATGGACAATGCATTTCATGATCAAAAGAGTATTTGACACTGATTGAGTCAATACCTTTACAACAATTAACGGATTAACGCAGGTGAAGAAATGGGCGTTAACCTTTAGCGATGGTCAGTCTTGAGTAATAAAGATTGACAGTGATTGGATAGATGTAACTGATTAATTTATAATTGGACATGTCAATCAAAGTAAAATTAAATGTTTTATGAAATGTTATTAGTTGGAGAGAGAAAGAAACAGAGCTAGAGTAAAGATACATTTAGGTTAAGAAGTGTCCGTAAAAACCTTAACGTTTACCTCATTGTCATAAGGTCTGTCTGTCCGTGTATTTAATTGATATAGCGAGTTTCCCCATACATATATATTGTACGGAGTGAAGAGTAACTGATTCCCCAGATTGTTATGATATATTTTATTAACTTCAATAAATGTGGAAAATATTGTGAGTGTTGAGCTAATTCCCTAGTAATCGCCAAGGCGGAGAGACACCACAAAACGGGCGGTTATAATATTGTAATTATGTCTAATACTTCTTGTTCAACAATTTTAATGTTGCATAGTGTGTCATTACACATATAATAAATTTGTGGCAGTGTTTCTTTAGAATCATCAATAGAGGAAATCGAAGAAAAATACGAATTTAATGCTTCAGTCTTGTCTTAAACCGCCGTCATTTAATACGTATTGTATTGGTGTATTTCGTTAGATAATTTAATATTAAATGAATTTTTCAGCAACTTCCAGTATAACCTATTGTTATTCTTAATTGAGTCTTCCAAGTAGGCTTCTATATCATCGTAATAATTTGAAATCGCGTGTTTTTTTTCAAGATATTAAGAAATTTAATAAAACTTAAAAATGAAATAATATCAAAGTCTCTTTGAAGACTTCATATACAGTTGGACTGCTTCAAAAATTGAACAATTAGTTTTATTTGCTAATTGCCTATCACCAAACATCAAAATATGCATCATTTGATCAAGATTGAGGGTTTCTAATTTTATTATACTCTGAAGACTTTCAAAAAAGTATCATTCTCTGATTATTATAGGCTGGGCATCCTAAGAAAAAATGATAGTTATCCTCGCTTTGATATCCGCACTTAGTACAAGATGCTGTTTCACTTAAGTACTGATTAAACAGGTGAGCATTTAAATTACTAGATTCATTTCTTAGTTGACAGTGTATAATGTTTTCCTTGCGATTACCATGATTAAAGATCTTGACATTCTTTATTCTATCTATACAGTAGGTCTCTTTAGGATATTCTTAAATCTTGAAAAGGAATCAATAATTTTGTTTCTAATGGTAAATTGTTCCATAATTGTATAGTAGAAGGCAGAAAACTGTTGAAATATGACACTGTCCTTGCTTGAGGTATGACAAAATTAAAATTACCAATATTCCTAAGATTGTAACCATGATTTGGTGAGTTAAATGGTAGGACCATTTCTTGCAAATAGAGAGGGGCTATACCATACACAATTTTATAAAATAACAAGAGTTTAGTCTTTCCCTTCTCTTATTTAATGATTCCCAACCTAACTCTAAACACCGAACATTACTTGATGAAACGTTATAGTTTTGTTTGAATTTTAAATTCAGATCTCTGAATCATTTGTAAATAATAATAATAATGTAGAGAAGACCAAGAAACCTAAAAATGAACTTTTTGGGAAAAATATCACATATCGTAAATGCGCTGTTCCATAATCATTTTAAAACCGATAACCAGTATACGTTGTATATATACAACAGTGATCATATGTGTTGCCTGGAATAAATGACTTAAAGTTCGATCATTGCATGGAGCAATTATATTTTTAAAAAGAACTATCAATTATTACGTCAAATTGATTTTATTTATTACGATATTAAAATTTAAAGCACAGAGCCAAAACATATTTTCCCATCCTAATGAAATTTAACACTTTGTAAATTAATGTATTTAACTACATGCCTTTGTTTTCATGCGGTCTTTCTGGGCATTTGATTGGTTGAAAAAAAACAGCTTGCCTCTAGTATCTTGCACTGGTCACTTCATTTTACATTATCTGTGGGTGGGAAAAAAAATCATTAAAATTTACCGCGGCGGGGGGGGGGGGTAACAATAAAGAATACAAGTTTTTTAAAAAATCTCTGTATTCTATCTAAAAGATAAAATATTCAACCGTTCAAATATACTAGCTGTTACTCTATATAAATTACAAACCGTACATTAAATTTAATTCAGCCCAAAATTCTTCTTTTATTTTATGATTTGCAATTTTTTTAATTAAGTACATTCGTCATCTTTGGTACGATATATAGAGATGTTAATAATTAATTACAATTTAAAGATATAAGATTCGTAATCTGTCGTCTATAAAAGTTATGATAGAACTGAGACCTTTCTGTTATTTGTGAATTTTCGGAATAATTCTGTTTTTGTTTGTTTGTTTGTTTTTTAATCCAATTTAGCATAACAGAAATAAGAAAAAAACAACCATCCTTTCTCAATTTTTTTTATTTTTCCAGAAAAATTTACTTTTTTCCGGCTATATAAGCTAGCGTTAGTTCCTTCATCATATACTTCATTGGGTCTGTATGGCACCCACCATTATTTGTAAATATATCGGGATCGGCATTTCTGCCGCACATGGTTGCACGAATGTCAGACACCTCGGCCCAACGACACCTCGGCCCATTGACATCTCGGCCCAATGACACCTCGGCCTCGACTGGTCGGCCCAATACTGAAGACACCTCGGCCCATACATAAGACACCTCGGCCCAAGCAAATTTTTATTGTGAGGTATT